CGAGGAGAAAAATTGGAGCAGGCACTCCCAGGGGAGAATCTCCCCCGCTGGATCCTTTAGTGGGTTGGATCATTCTGTCACATGCGTGCCGGTGAGTGAAGCGGAGGCAGGATCCACATGCGGGTGCAAAGGCAGGCAGGCAGACAAGCAGGAACGGTTTAACAAAATGGTAAATGGCCTGTATTTGATATAGCGCCTTCTAGAGTCCTGGAACCCCCCAAGGCGCTTTACAACACAATCAGTCATTCATCCATACACACACACATTCACACACTGGTGGGGATGAGCTACAATGTAGCCACAGCTGCCCTGGGGTGCACTGACAGAGGTGAGGCTGCCAAGCACTGGCGCCACCGGTCCCTCAGACCAACACCAGCAGGCAACGTGGGTTAAGTGTCTTGCCCAAGGACACAATGACAACGACAGACTGAGCGGGGCTCGAACCTGCAACCTTCCTATTACGGGGCGAGCATTTAACTCCTGTGCTACCGTCGTCCCAACAACAAAAGGGTTTTAATAACAGAACACGTTGGACTACTGAAACAATGATCCAACCAGAGACACAGAACTGAAGGGGCTTAAATACAAGAGGGCTGGGAGCTTGGGTGATTGGGAAACGAGAGGCAGGTGGGAGCCATTAACATGGACACAGGACTGAACAGAAAGGGGAGACAGGACAGGGTGTGACACAATTAATGAGCAAAGAAATAATCAGAATAAAAAAATTAATATGTTTCTGCTGCTCTCCATTTAAAAAAGTTTTCATCTCCATAGTTTTTTTTTACACAGCAACAGGTGAATTAACCCCCAAAAAATACATTTTAAATTGAATTATGGATAACATTTTAAATAACTGAAATATGTATTTCTGAAATGTTTCTGTTTTGATACTTACTGTTATTTTAATAAAAACGAATAAAGGCGTAATGCAGTACATCGCCACAGGCTAAATTCTCCCAGCGTTACCACAAGGACCAATTTGGTTTGCCACCCCAAAAATGTCTTTGGCTCCATCTGGCCACCCCTATATACATTTTCTGGAGGCGCCCCTGCTGACATGTGCAACACAGTGTTTGGATCAGTTATGAAGCTAATAACGACTCATCCTCATTCAGGAACGTTTTGGCTTATACAGATTTTCAGGGTTAGGGTTAAACTCTGAGTCAGGAGCAACTATGCTGTCTAGGGAGGAAAGGAGTGTTAAGGAGTGGGCAGCAAAGGAAGGCGGTGGTTTGGGCAGAAACATGTCAGCCAAAGGTAAAAAACAAACAAACATTGAATTAATGCACCATGTTAAAAAAGAAAAGAGAAGATGATTATGGAACAACACACAGAACGAATATACAGGACTGTGGTTCTCTGGTAGTCCTGGAACCAGACTGAATTATCTCAAACAAATATCAGTCAATCAATCAATCAATCAAACTTTATTTATAAAGCGCTTTTCCTACAAAAAGTGGAACTCAAATTGCTTCACAGATTAAAATGATCCTACATAACCCCCATCGCTATCCCTCCCACAACAACAAAAAGCATTGGCACAGTCATAGCACCCCCCCAGAATCACTGGTAATATAACAATTGTCTCAAAACATAATTAAAACTGCTCTACATTTATAGAGCAAATCTCTTGATGATTTTCCATCGTAGCTCTTGAAGTTCCCATATTTTCCCATCAGGCAGCAGCTTTTGGGTGACATTACCTTCACACGTTCATTATTCCAGCACATTTTGTGAAAACCAGAAGAGGGCAGCAGCAGAACATGATGCTGAAACAATCAAGCTCCAAAAACCTTACAGTGATTGTTGTGCATGACTTTCTGGTACTCTGGGTGTTGGTCTAATTCTAAGTACGTTGACTGAAGCATATAGTTTAGGCTTCGAGGCCATCGTGGTATCTGGGCTTTGCGGTGCTTGTGTTTTTGTAGGAGAGCAAATCAGTGGCAGCTGTCGACCACACTTGTTCTACCTTTTCTAGAAAACAGGCTTTATTTGAACTTCTAGCAGAGAAAACAGCAAAGACCCTCCATAATCCAGTTGTCTTACACTACAACACTCAACAGAACAATGCTTTACAACTTGATTCATTTTCCACATGTCCTTCCTCATCCATCTGAACCACTTGTGGTTCTAGTTGCATGTTTCCATTTCGGCTTGGGCCCAACTTTAATGTTAATGAGCTCTAACGGCATCTCCTAACAGCAGCTCTGCCTAAAGCACTCCTTTGACTGGTGTACAGGAAAACTGAGCGCTTTCTCTAACTGAGTAAGTTGCAACAAGAGTTCTGGGTTTAATTCCTGGTCTAGGGTCTTTCTGCATGTTTTCCCTGCGCATGTTTAGGTTCTCTCCGGGTACTCCAGCTTCCTCCCACAGTCCAAAAACATGATTGTCAGGTTAATTGGTCTGTCTGAATTGTCCTTAGGTGTGTGTGTGCATGGCTGATTGTCGTGTGTGTCTCTGTGTTGCCCTGCGGTGTACTGGCAACCTGTCCAGGGTTTACCCCGCCTGTTTGCTCTAAATCAGGTTATGAAACAGATGTACAATAAAATCTGAGAGTCTAATTGTTACACATTATACTCGTCTGTTAGATTTTTGTTTAAAAATGTTTTCAAATTCAAGCAATTCAAAAATACTTTATTAATCCCAGAGGGAAATTGATTAAACACAAGGGTCATATCCAAAGATTGACTCTATATAATAGGGACTGACACTTAAAGAAAATCAGTCATCACACAAGACAAACTGAGCAATGTGCCTCTCTCTCACACACACACACACACACACACACACACACACACACACACACACACACACACACACACACACACACACACACACACACACACACAAGTGCTCAGTACTCAGCTTCCAAAGAAATGACCTGACCCAGTGTACAAATGCAATGAAAGACTCCCCAAGCACCTAAACAACTCACATCTAATAATGAAATTATCATATTAGAGCAGTGCACTCAGAACATCCTGACCACATTAGTCTATTAATGATTACCACATGCCATCACCAGTGATTACATCTGTTACAACCCATCTTAAGGACGGAGGGCTCGAGGAGAAAGATGGGGAAATAACACAACCTTAAAACCAGGTTTCCAGTTGCAGGAAATGCTCAGTTTTATTTAAAATAAAAGCAAAGACAACAAAACTATCTTCCCAAAGCGGGGGAATCTAACAAAACCAAACTAACACAGCTTTTGGGGAAAAAGAAAAGAGGTGACAAATAAAACAGGTCCACCACATCCAAAAAGTTTCGTTACCAGAGGAAAAACACAAAACCCAATAAGGAAGAGACAGCTCACTGATCAGAGCAGCTCCCAGCTTACCATCAGGCCACTAAAAGCTTAGCCTACAGTTGTTCCAACCCAACACAAATGCCATGTCAAGGCACCAAAACACAGACCCAGTAAGGGAGCGACAGCTCACTGTTCAAAGCAGCTCCCCCCCCCTACTGCTGGATGAAGTGTCCCTTTTAATCCAGAAACTTAATCATCCCGATTGTCCACAGCTGGTTAGCCCTAACCCCAACCCGAATCCTGGTGGCCCAACAGAAAGTTGTGAGTGCGTTGTGAAGCAACCCAGGCGGATCCAACAGGAAGAAATGTGGGCTCCCAATATCCATCCGGGTCCCCAGAGGATGAATGATGGTGTCTTCTGGAGTGGGCGAGCTAAAAACAAGTCTCCCCACACAAAATACGAACCGATAGGGGTACGTAACAACATCTGAGCAGAGAGAAGTTCCAGGCAAAACCACAAGTCTCTGATGAGGCGGCGGTCCTTGAAAGAAACCTTCCTACCAATGTTTGGCTGACTATGCTGAGGCTATCCCTAGACCCAGGAGGCCACCTATAGATGAGACTCGATCAGACGATGTGGCCAGAGGTTCAGGCTGGGCTGATTAATGTGTCACCAGTAAGTCCTGCATCTCGCATGTTCTGTAAAGGAGCATGGCACAACACAGGAGAGCCATCTTTTCAGGGAAAGAGGGAAAGTCCACCTATATCTCCAGCACAAAGCACTGACACTTCAGGATTTTCTGGTAGGAAGCAGAATTCCTGGTTTTATCAATTACAAGAAGTTGTCAACACAGCCCCAGACCATCACACCACCACCACCATGTTTGACTTTCACAGAAATGTACCGTCTCTGGACCCCACAATCCTAAAATAATCTGCTTTTGTTCCTCTTTCTGCAACATCAAGAGTGTAAATCTTGATTATTAAGTTCGGGTTCCCCTGACAGCCAGATGTTGGCTGCATAGCTGCATCAAATAAGTGGCTGTCTCGTTCTTTTTGCCAGTTCACTGGGCGAAGAACAAGAACTCAGTGGCTGCAAATAGCCTGCATACCCATCTGCAGGAAACCGCAACCTACATGAACACAACTGATTCTTAACTCCCAGTTCTAAACCCAGGTTAAAACACACTGATAACATCTGGCGTCAAAGTTTTCTAAAACCTAAATTACTGAAATACTCAAAACGTAAAAGTAAAACTAAAGATAAGTGTATGTTTCTTTTAAACTCAGGCATGAAATACCTGCTGGCAGGCCCAGAGGAGCCTGGAACAGGCCGTTTGTTGGTCACCGTGGAGAGCGTCGTGGTTCCACGGACGCATCGACTAGCTCTAACCCTGTCAGAAACTCTGAAGAATGGATGTCAACAGGCCAAATATAATTAGAGACTAGAATGGATTTAAATAAATAAATTATCAAAGATTCAGTCAGGATTTAGTGGAGGAGCTAAAAATATACTGTCCAGGTGAATTATTTTGCTGTAAACCTCATTTTATCATACACTTGTATTAGCCAGGTTCACTTTTTTGCCTTTTTAAACATAGTCTTTAACTTTATTTTCATTTCTATACAAAACAAACCTTTATTTTTGACTTCATCATAGTAGCTCTCTTGTTGAAATGTAAATATTTACTCCATTAAAAAGAGAAATTGCATTCTAACCTCAAAATAGGAAGAAAGATTGCAGCAGAAGTCAGTCTGACTAATTTAATCAGTGTTATCGTGACGAACACCAACATGTTTAGATCCTGAACAACAAGTGGCAACTTCAGCATCGGCTTTCAGACAATAAAAACACTGATAATGTAAATGTGACGGGTCAGGAATGAGAAACCCTGAGGTTTTTTATGAGAATGATACAAACATGAGGACATGCAGACGTTTCAACAGCAGCCCTGGTTAGAATCAGCAGCATTTATAACTCAAACCTCTGTAACGAGTTCCTGAATGGGCTCCTGACCAAGTTATGAGTCTTACAGCTCAAGTCTCTGAAGCACAACACATGGTTACCTCTCAGTAATCTATCACTTGTTTGTTATTTCCCAGAATACACAACAGTGTGTGTACTTTTGTACCACGTTCCCCTGTTGGCCCATAAATCGTTCCTGACAGACTCAAACCAGCCAATCAAGAGCATCTCTTGTTGTAAAGTCACTTATGATGAGCTAAGCGTCTGATTGTCTGTCGGTGAAACGCTGTCCAATGCAGCCGATGGAGAAGAGTCATTTTCAGACAACATGGCGGAGTTGTCAGAACCAGGAACAGAGCTGGATTCTGTCTGGGAAGCGTTTTCTTCCTCCTGAGGATACAGGTCTGGGTACTTCTGCATGCACTCCTGCATGCTGCTGAAGTGGTCGATGCACTCGGAGCCCTTCACCTCCTCCTTGCTGTAGTGGAAGCAGGAGAAGGCCTCCTTGAACTGGGAGCCACAGGGTCCACTGGCCATGCCTCCCAGGCACGGGCAGTTCCAGTTGATGTCTCCATTAGGCAGAATCAGGCCTGCAGAAGCCACAATCACAACAGTTTTAGTTGGAGAAATATGCATGTGCTGCGTTTTTTTAAATCTGAGCATTAATCATCTTAAATTATTTCTTTATTTCAGTATTAGGAAAAGCATGATTGTTTTTGGATTTGACTGAAAGTACGCTATGCTTATTTGTAACTAGTGAAATGAAAGAAAAGGTATTTCAGTGTCTGAGTTTTAATGACAAACCGAGTGAGACTACTAACCCTGCTCCTCGTAGGGATCATTTGGGTCATCTGCGATCAGCTCAGCCTTGCTGGGAGCCTCGTGGTCTTCCTTAGTCACAAAGATGATGCGATCCTTACCTGACGTGACAAAACACAAGTGGATTAAGGAAAAAGTGAGAAGCAAAAGTTGAGGTTGGATGTTGAAAAACTACAGGTGCTGGCCAGTAAATTAGAATATCATCAAAAGGTTGAAAATATTTCAGTAATTCCATTCAAAACGTGAAACTTGTACATTATATTCATGCAATGCACACAGACCAATGTATTTCCAATGTTTATTACGTTTAATTTTGATATTTATAGGTGACAACCAATGAAAACATCAAATCTGGTATCTCAGAAAATTAGAATATTCTAAAGGCCAATGAAAAAATGTTTGTTTCTCTAATGTTGGCCAACTGAAAAGAATGAACATGAAAAGAATGTGCATGTATAGCACTCAATACTTAGTCGGGGCTCCTTTTGCCTCAATAACTGCAGTAATGCGGCGTGGCATGGACTCGATCAGTCTGTGGCACTGCTCAGGTGTTATGAGAGCCCAGGTTGCTCTGATAGTCGTCTTCAGCTCCTCTGCATTGTTGGGTCTAGCGTATTGCATCCTCCGCTTCACAATACCCCATAGATTTTCTATGGGGTTAAGGTCAGGCGAGTTTGCTGGCCAATCAAGGACAGGGATACCATGGTCCTTGAACCAGGTGCTGGTGGTTTTGGCACTGTGTGCAGGTGCCAAGTCCTGTTGAAAGGTGAAGTCTGCATCCCCATAAAGTTGGTCAGCAGCAGGAAGCATGAAGTGCTCTAAAACTTCCTGGTAGACGGCTGCATTGACCCTGGACCTCAGGAAACAGAGTGGGCCAACACCGGCAGATGACATGGCACCCCACACCATCACTGACGGTGGAAACTTTACACTGGACCTCATGCAACGTGGATTCTGTGCTTCTCCGCTCTTCCTCCAGACTCTGGGTCCTTGATTTCCAAAGGAAATGCAGAACTTGCTTTCATCAGAAAACATAACTTTGGACCACTCAGCATCAGTCCAGTCCTTTTTGTCCTTGGCCCAGGCGAGACGCTTCTTGCGCTGTTTCATGTTCAAGAGTGGCTTGACACACGGAATGCGACACCTGAATCCCATGTCTTTCATGAGTCTCCTCGTGGTGGTTCTTGAAGCGCTGACTCCAGCTGCAGTCCACTCTTTGTGGATCTCCCCCACATTTTTGAATGGGTTTGTCGTCACAATTCTCTGCAGGGTGCGGTTATCCCTAGAGCTTGTACACTTTTTTCTACCACATTTTTTCCGTCCCTTCGCCTGTCTGTTAATGTGCTTGGACACAGAGCTCTGCAAACAGCCAGCTTCTTTAGCAATCACCTTTTGTGTCTTGCCCTCCTTGTGCAAGGTGTCAATGATTGTCTTTTGGACAGCTGTTAAGTCAGAAGTCTTCCCCATGATTGTGGTGCCTTCAAAACAAGACTGAGGGACCTTTTAAAGGCCTTTGCAGGTGTTTTGAGTAAATCAGCTGATTAGAGTGGCAGCAGGTGTCTTCTATATTCAGCCTTTTCAGAATATTCTAATTTTTTGAGATACCAAATTTGGAGTTTTCATTAGTTGTCACTTATGAATATCAAATTTAAATGTAATGAACATTGGAAATACATTGGTCTGTGTGCATTGCATGAATATAATGTACAAGTTTCACGTTTTGAATGGAATTACTGAAATATTTTCAACCTTTTGATGATATTCTAATTTACTGGCCAGCACCTGTATGTCCAGAAAAAGTCAATTGCAAACATTTCATGGATGTCCTGAAGAAGCAAATGAGCTCCTGACATGTACTTGTTCTGTGTGATTACTAGTTTACTAGATTACTAGTATAACTGAGGGTTCTGGATGTGCATTTTTGCAGCAAACTTCTGAAAACAAGATGCTTTATTGAATACCAGGTTCATTCTTTTAGGCACTTCTGCAGCTTCCTTCAAATCTTCACAATAGGAGTCTTGAAAATACACACATGCCTTAAACATCTGAAGTTTTACTGGACAACAATATTTCCGAACATTTTTCGTTAGAAACATGGACGTAGTTTTGACTTTAATAATGGTGGTGGTGGGTGGTGCGGGGAGGAGAAGACACACAACCAGCATGTCCCCCCCGATGGTCCCTCCCAAAAAAAGTACGTTCATGGTTAGAGTGACAGGCTTCCTCAGGCTATTCTAGAGGTACTTTAATGGGGAAATGTTATCTCGGACTACAATAGTGGTTCAATAAGAAAATCCCACTGTGTGTTTGGTGAATCAATACTGACCCCTAGCGACCGTTTAGGGACTCACATGATTAACTAACTAAGGACGTTTAGCTCTGAACCTCCAGATTACGTTTTAAAACCACTTTACAGCAGGTGGAAACTTTGTTTTCATTCACAACAGGATACCTAGCTTCATTAAAACTATGGGGAGTTCTCGTTGCTTCTAGATATTAGCTTAGCAGCACGGTGGCTCAGTCACGGACGAGAAATAACCAAACGTAAAGCCAAATGTTACCGTCTTGCTTGCAGTAGGACATGTCCGCGGAAGTTCTTGTCCGTGGGGCTTCGTCTGGTTTCGTAACAACAGATCACCACAGTAAGAGAGTCTTCAGCGACTGAGAGGATTTCATTTGACAGGCTAACCGGTGTGCCTTCCAGGGCTTCTGTGACCTGTCGCCGCAGCCGCGCATAATGATGACGTCAAACATTTTAATAATTAAAAAAAGGCTGAATCCTTATGTTTTCCTAACATGTAAAGTAAACGAACAGACTAGTTACTGAGCCTCTGCCACCGTAGCCCTTATAAAACTATTGGTTATCAGTTCAAGACCAATAAATATCCAATTACATCTAACAGTTTTTGAGAGCATCGACATGTAAGGATAATTTTTTGCCCTCTAGTGGACAGAAGTTGTTACAACAAAGTTCATGACGACAAAAATTAGAATAAAAAAAGATTCGCTTACATTTTAGGCCCTGTACCTGACTCATTTACATTTTAATTTCATAAACTAGAACTTAATGTAAAATGACAACTGGGAAAAAAAAAATGCGTTTATCTGACAACTGCTGATATTGATCATTACACTTGCTTCACTTTCCCAGTATTTATATCCACCAGGCAGAATTAGTGTTTTTGGTTATTTTAATCCCAGATAGTGAGAACTCTTGTTGAATCTTGTTGGTCATCAAAATTAATGTCTCCATTAAGATGTTTATTTAGTCTACATAGCCTTGTAAACATGTAAAGTCCTCCCCAGTCTAATGGCTCGATCACCCGAGCATGCTGGCATGGTGCCTTACCCCTCCATAAACGGACTGCTAGCTTACAATGAACATAAAAAACATCATAAAATAGATAAAAGCACAAATTCCAAGTGTGTTGAAAAACAAATGATTTTTTTAATAACACAATTATGTTTTACATAAAGTAAAAACAAAATGAAACCCCTTTCTTCAGCCCCATCAACCCAACCCTCATCCCGACCATCTCGGCAGTTTTGCGCAGCGACTTAGTCTGGGAATACAAGAGCAAGACGACACACACGCAAACACACACTTTCCTTTGAGGACTCAGGAACGGTGGACACACTGTACCCTGCATCAGACCATGGTGAGTATAAACAGTCTACGGTTCAAATGAAAGTAAAAATTGAAACGAATGTCGCCGATAGTTGGATTATTATCAGGAGTACCAGCATGTGATGCTCTCTCATGTTAATCTAGGCCCCCAGAAACCTCAGGTATGACTGACAGGTGAACCTGGCTTCCCATCCATCCCTTTTGAAATGTCCAGGAACAAAGCTTCCAGCTTTAGCTCAACATACCGCTCATGTCTTAGTGTTCCTTATACGCTCCACAATGAGAAATGCCTGAGGTAAGTCAAATCCAGCTTCACGATAGTGTGCTTTAATCATTTTGGGCCCATGAGACAGTCAGTGGGGATTCAGGCAGCCTGCAGAGACATGGGTAACCATTACTGAAATAAAAGGATTCAACACTAATTACTAAACTCAACCCTGGGAGGAAACCAGACAGTCTTCTCCAGTGAGAGCAGCAAAGTGCAGAACAAAAACAACAAGAAACAAAACAAGGACAGGTGGATTATTTGTGTCTGATGTGTGTCAAGAGGATTGGCAGGTTTACTTTTAGAAGAGCAGTGCTCCCATGCTGCCAACTTCACTTTGCTCTTTCACGAAGATCTCAAAGTACTGGTAGATGATGGTCACCGCCAAGAGGATTCCCGTCCCCGATCCGATGGCGCCCAGGAAGTCCGCCATGACAGACAGCCCTCCTATACAGAGGCCTCCAAACGCAGCAGCTGTGGGGATGTACCTGCAGCGACGAGTTATAATTCAACCGAAGAGAGATTACAGCGAGAAACCTAAAACTGCTCATCATCAGCTTCTGCTTCGTACCTGTTGAGTTCATGCACCATGGAGGTTTCTCTGTGTCCCCTCATCACCATCTGCTGCTCCTTCAGCTGCTTCGCTACCTGAGACAAACACGACAAGCAGAGACATCACATTCTCATCTAGTCCAAGCTGTGTGAGCGAAACGCGCGCGCACACGCACACACACACACACACGCACACTTACATCTTTAGCAGAGGACCCTGAGACCTCAATCCAGGTCTTAGAGAAGAAGGCGCAGGAGCCGAGCATGAAGACGATGTAGATGACAGCATGAACGGGGTCGTCTAAGACAGAACCAAACGACTCCGGAGGAGAGAGGTAGTAGCAGAGGCCGCCCACCGGGTAGGCCCGAGCTGGTCCTCCAGTTGACGTGTCCTGGAAACAGGAGGACTCGTGTAAATCCTGATCACACTTGACAGAAAGCAGCGGCACCGGGATGATACTTACAGACCAGGTTCCCAGGAGATTAACCAGGAAGTTTCCACTGAAACGCGTCGACAGCATCTGAGAGATGACGTAGAGATTGGAGACCAAGGCAGACTGCAGGATGATGGGAATGTTGGAGGTGTAGAACAGCTTGATGGGGTAGGTGTTGTATTGACCCCGGTAACGAGCAGACTTGATGGGCAGGTCCACTCTGAAGCCCTGATGAAAGAGACAAACATTAAAAATAAAACTTCTCCTTTTTTGTGACAACAGCTGCGGAGAGGCAACGCTCCCTCACCTGGAAGTATATGACCACTGCAAATACAAAGACAGTGGCGATGAGGTTCATGAGGTTGGGCAGGTTCTGCCGGTAGAAAGCTTCTCTCAGGGCACGCACCTTGTCCGTACGAGTGGCCAAGAGATGGAAGAGGGCGATGATGGCTCCCTCAAACTCAGTACCTGGACACACCACACCATTCACCAGGTTGGTCACGTCACACATGTGAGAAACATCACCCTTTTGTATTTCTGAGCTTTGAAACGCTCTATTCTATTATGTTCTGGCGTCTTTACCTCTACCCGTGTTGACTGTGGTGGGGCTGAAGGCCTTCCAGACGATGGTCTCACAGATGTTGGTGGCAATGAAGAGAGAAATACCAGATCCTAGACCATAGCCCTTCTGGAGAAGCTCGTCCAGAAGCAGGACGATGAGACCGGCGACGAAAAGCTACAAACATAAAACAAAGACGTTTTTAAAGACAGCGTTCAGTGGAAATAACAGCAAGCCACCAAATGAGTTTTTGTCTCAAAAGTATCGACAACTCCTGCAGCATTATTTGGGTTTTAGAATGTAGTCCAGATGCCTAGATTAACCTGGATGATGATGAGGAGGCAAATCCCAGCCCCCATCTCTGAAGGATCTCCGTACATGCCCGTCATGACGTAGACGATGGCCTGTCCAATGGTGATGATCATGCCAAACACTGCAACAAGAACAGGAGAAGGTTTAGAAACAGCTGGTGGAAAGATGAAAACCATTTCCAAGGATTCAGAAGCAACGTAGCAGGCTTAAGGAGCAGCAACGGTGGACCTACATTTCTGAGCCCCGTTGAAGAGAGCTCGGTCCTTGGGAGTGTCTCCCACCTCGATGATCTTGGCACCAGCCAGCAGCTGCATGATGAGGCCTGAGGTGACGATGGGTGAGATACCAAGCTCCATCAGAGTACCTGGGCAACAGAAGATGAAGAGTTAAAAATAATAAAGAAAGCAAGAAAAAGTTGTCTCAGGCTGGTCAGTGTGAGAAAAAAAAAGTAAGAAAATCGACAAAAACGCTCGAGCATACAACTGCTGACCTTTGGCTTATGAACATGTGAGAACAAGATAACGCTGCTCTTCATAACCGCAGCTTGGGTTTTTTTCTTCCATGGTTGACAGATTGAAAAGGATTGTGTGAAGTTTGAGTGTAACGCATGCACCCACCTCTGTTAGAAGCCAGGATTACTCTCATCCAGTAGAAGGGATCTGCTGAATCTGAAGACATGATGCCAAAGAGAGGAATCTGAAGGGAAAAATAAAACAATGATTACAATATACTCTGAAGTGCTGCTGTCAGAAGAAACACACCTTAATTGATACAAACCTGACAGCACACCAGGAAGATGAATAGCGTAATGGCGGTCCATAGTACTTTTTCTCTAAATTGAATCTGTAAGATGTAAAAAACGTATTAATTCACTGATGTAAAACAAGGAATTATTAATAGTTTAAAAAAAAAGCAAGCACTGACTTTTCTTTCTGGTTTTTGAATCTCTGGCAGGACTGCACAGAAAGGCTTGATGACTTCCAAAAACTTTACTGTGAGAACAAAACAAAACGTTATTTTCACCAAACAAGACCAGGCGCCTCCACCTCTCTGACCAGGTGAGCCCAGAGGCTACGTCATCTCTAACCAGCTGCCGAACAGCTGCCAGCACAGCTAGACGTGACTGTGTATTCAATGTCTCAGGTTACTAGTTAATCTCAGTGAGGTGGGGAACAATCGTTGATCTTTTAAAACGGTTTTCTGTCGCGCTGCTTAGGTCTGTGTGATCCTCATCATCAATCACAGAAGCTGACTTCGACAGCGAGAGATTTCTCATCTTAAACCTACCATGCTCCAAAAGTCTGGTTTAAAACACGAAAAAGCAAGTTCACGTCTTAAAAGCTGATTATGTTATTACACCCAACATAACACACCTAACGAGATGCTAGCTGTAGCATCCAAAGACAAACTCAACACTTTTACATTTAAAAGCTAAAGCTGACACAAACTATTTCCCACCGTGATTGAATCAAACGAGTGTGAATAAAAACACACGTATTGTTTTTAGATTCGCTCTCACTAGGAGCTAGCTTCAACTTGCCACACAACCTGAACAAGGTTAGCTTGTTAGCTTTCGAGCAAACGGTGTTTATTGTCTAAGTTTGAAACAACACCAGTCATTTTACACGAACCCAGACGTTTATAAAACGCAAAGAAGCTCACGTACTCCCCATGATGTCCTTAAGTCGACTCCTGCCTTGTAGCTGCTTCCAGTTTAAGTGCTCAGAAAGGAGTCAATGTGGCTCCATCAGCCGCTCCGAGAGGAAAGAGACAGAACCGGAGAGACACGTCACCAGGCCAGCCGCAGACACACGTCAGCTTTCCGACGCCACGTCCTACACACTGCAGGCCGCCAGCACTCTTGTCTGGAGCCACGCTCTCTTTAGAGTGGTAAACAAACGACAACACTTCATAATTGCATTTCTTTAATCTTTAATATTTTCAGAAAAACTGCGGAAAACGAAAATGCGCTCCACTCCGCCAGAGGGCGCTGCAGTTTGAAAAAGCCCCAGTGGGAGCGGCAAACATGTTAGCCCCGCCCATCTGGTACAGCTGCGCTGAAAATAAACACTTTATTTTCATGGGTAAAAAAATATTAATGAAATAAATTAAACCAAATGAATACAACCAAAACGAAGGTTTCTAGTGAAATAGTCACCCCAGTACCACTTAAAGTAAAATAAAAAACTGGTTAATCATCATCATCATCATCATCATCATCATCATCATAGACATCATCATCATCATCATCATCATCATCATCATCATCATCATCAATGAAACACAGAAAGTCAAGAATGACGATAATACAAATATGAGACAGCCCTGCCCAGTAAAAGCTAGAAAAGAGAAATGTGTCTATTTATTACAGTGGGCCGGTATCCAGCGTGTTTTAGTTGGTTCCCTGCTTAAACACACCTGATTCAATCAGCAGGTGATTAACAGGCTTCTGCAGAGCCTGATGAGCTGCTGCACAGGTGATTCAACCATTCAATGAAGTGTGTTGGAGCAGAGAAACACCTAAAACCTGCTGGATACCGGTGTCGGTACAGGATCTGTTTGGGTGCAGGATCGGCTCGGGGTCCTTCGACTGCCGATGACGTCAAAGTAGTTGATTGGCTGAACATGAAGCTTACGGAAGTTACGCTGTCATGTTATGATTTTGATTGGTCAGAACAAATTTGCGATCGTAGTCTTAGTGGTTGTAGTCCTGTAGTCCAAAAATCAACACTTTTTGGAGAAAATACATTTGAATTTCTAAAGGAAATGTAAAATAAAAGCAAATGATAAACGGTGACCCTCAAAAGCTCTTGATGTTGATGAAATAGGGCAAAATAAAATATAAGAACTTTACTGAAAGACACCAAGCAATATTTTGAGTCAAATGATGTATTTAGATAACAACTAAGGGAATATACAGACGAACTCCACATTAATACAAACAGATGTGGCTTCACATATATGAACTGTTCTATTTTTTGTCAGTCCGATGTTGGTTTTATGCAGTTTCACATTCTTTACTAAACATAGATAATATGGTGTTTTATTAACAAATTACAATTATAAAGAAAACGTTTAGGTGTTAACCAACAAGAATTTATTAAAACTGCTGATGTCTTTCCAAAACGTATGTGTGAAAGCCGAGTAGATTTGCTGTAATGTGACGTCATCGGCAGTCGAAGGACCCCGAGCAGATCCTGTACCGACACTGGCCCTCCAGCTCCAGGACCAGGATTGAGAACCCCCTTTGTAAGGTGATCCCATCAAGGCTGAGAGATATCATATTGACAGCTATAACGGCTTTATTGTAATATTATTCCCACTGGAAACAGATATTTTGAGTTTTCCCACAAAGAAACATCTAAACTGCCTAGTGCTTTTCGTTTAACTTCTTTCCATTTGTGTTGAAACTAAGTGTAACAACTCTGAGAAAAATCATTAGGTTGCTTACTGCTATTTCCCTGTGAGAACCACACCCATTCATTCAAATGACTCTTCTCCCCATACATCTGGGTACAAGAGTCAAAGCAGAACTTCAGGTTTTAGTAGAATAAAATCCAAGGACACCCCCAGTGTTAAACCACTCACAACCCATCTTCCTCGTCCAAAGTGCACACTGATGTGCAGCAACTCCAAATTTCCGCACGTGGGAAAATACCAATCTCAACTGTGTGATTCTATCATGTCAATATGGATCAAAAACTGTGAGGTGTGTTTCCAACACCTTGTTGAATCTATGAAGAATTAACGCAATTCTGAAGGCAAAAGGTGACGTCTTGTGAGTGTACACTCAGCGTGTGGGCCTACATGTATTATAAACCACCACAAGGGGACGCTGTTGCCTCGATAACTAGATTAGTCTGTGTGTGTGTGTGTGTGTGTGTGTGTGTGTGCGTGCGTGCGTGCGTGTGTGTGTGTGTGTGTGTGAAATAGATTATAAATGTTTTCAGTCACGTTTTGCTTCTGTGGGAAACCCAAGGCGAGGCTGGAATTGAGGCCGAGAAGAATTTCATCATCACACCTTCACATCTGTCAGATGGTTTGTAAATATCTATTTAATTCAGAGGGATGAATACAGAGCTGGGATCACACTGAGCCTCCGACACCACACACACACACACGCACACACACACACACACACACACGCACACACACACACACACACACACACACACACACACACACACACACACACACACACACACACACACACACACACACACACACACACACACACACACACCAGGGGCGTGTCCAGGGAGTGGCCTGGGGTGGCACATGCCACCCTTAGAATCTGATTGGCCACCCCCAGGTGCCACCCTACTAAGTTCCAGTTTAAACTGACTTTACATTGTCGACAAAAGGCTTGGGTTGTAAACTCCAAAAATAGTGTGTGGTAGCATGCACCTTTAACATCGTCTTCTAGCCCAGGCCTAAAGAACATTTCTGTAGTATTAATATTATTTATTATTTTTTCATATTCACATAAATAGTATTTAGAGTCCCACTCATCTCCAGTTGGTGGCAGTAATGCAACAAGAAGTGACTTGCTAACCACCACAAAACTAGAAGATGAATAGAAAAAAATGGTGATTGTGCAATGTGAAACTCCAAAATTCACTAGAAAGTAAATAAATAAATAAACGATTTGTGTAAATAAATAAATAAAAATAACCATTGGTGCCACCCTTGCATAAACAAGTGCCCCACATGGGCCACCCCATTTTAAAAGTCCTGGACACGGCTCTGACACACACACACACACACACACACACACACACACACACACACACACACACACACACTGAAGAGTGGCTCGGGTTCTGCACATCTTGCACATATAATAATCACTTCATACGTGTAAAAAGTGTGTACATGAGGGGACTTAGGGCATGTCCATGTGGAGCGCCGGAGGACGAAACATCAGAGATCTTCACACGTCAGGAAGTCCAGTTGTAGTTTGAGAGAATGATTGTTAAATGACATATTTATCTGAGTTAGCCACATCAGACACAGACAGCTAGAGTCTGTCAGAAGTTTTTATGTCAAGAAAAGCATCAGCTTCACGTGCAGAACAGATCTTAGAAAGTCAGCATGTTCATGAACTGCTGCTGTTGTAAAATCTGCTCCGGCCTTGTTTTCACAACGGATCCCTCACCACGCTGGTTTTCACCCACATGTTGTCAGACACATGCAGTGATGTCAGGGAGGGTGAGCGACACAGAAGAGCAGTGTGTCTGAGGAGTGCGAGGTGACAACGGAGATGCTGCAAACACATCAGCTCATCTGCAGCTGCTCCTGATTGATACAATTTCAGGTTTTTCTTGTTTGTTTTAGATTCTGATGCACAGAAAAAGAAAACAAACATCTTCGTCAGAGGCCATGACATGCTGGAGATCAACATCAGAAATGAGTCTAAACCCATTTTCGGTGACAACTCGACTCTGGTTTGTCTGCATCACTGAAACTTGGACATGCTTTATTTTTTTCTTCTGTTTTGGCAGACACTTGTGATTACAAAGTGTTTCATGGTTTTATGTATTTTACAGCATTTATCTATATCCCCTCTGAAGCTCAAACGGCTGTAATCCCAGTTTAATCCATCTGAGGTCTGGCACTGTAACGCAAAGCCACATTAGCACCCAATGCTCGATCTGAAAGGGTGCGCAGGATTCGACCTTCATGGGTGAGCTTAAATAAACGGTGTCTTTACAAATCATTTGTTCCAGTGATGGTTCATTACCGTAATTAAGAGCTTGGTGTAAATAACTTTGACAGGTGGATCAGCATGATGTGCATCCAACATCAGCCGGAGGCCAACGCCAGGCTCTGACGCCCAGTGTAGCGTCACGGCAACAGTTATACAACACTTTAATGACACCTTACCTTCACTCTCTTTTACTGTTCATTTCTCTAGATCCCATGAGGCGGGAGGTCTGGTTTTAGGGGCTTTATGCCCTGTTTGACATTTTTAACACATAATAAATAATTAATCCAATCACATCCAATAGAAGTTATACAAGGGTCCTGTTGAATGACATGAGGGCAGAAATTCTGGATCACATTGCTTGAAACCAAGTTAGAATAAATATTTTTATTACAAAAATAAATTAAATGATCTTTTAATAAATATTTGATATTTACAAGTCTTGCTGTAGTTAGTTAGGTGGATTTGTACAACTGGAGATTTTTTCCCCCTAAAATTCCAGACTCACCATGAAGGTAGCTTGTGTCTTAAAAGCAAGAAATGTAAAAGTTCTATAAAAAGTATTGAAAATGTTTTATTTTTCCACATTTATTCATTTGAATTCCACTCAGCCAAATGTCTGCATGTTTTTCTTGTAGAGCTATTACAACATAGACTGTTATCAAATAAAACACACACACACACACACACACACACACACACACACTTTTCTACAAATCTTTTACAAGTGAAACTGAAATGGTTAATGTTTGATGGCCTTGTTACTGACTTTCAGTCAGACACACAATATTAGGAAACTTACTGAACTTTCAATTTTTATTTTTCTCTGTTTGCATTCTTGGAAGTTAATCTGGGCAAATGATTGTGTTAATCCATGTATAAAGTCTATGTGACTGCAAATCCTGATACCGTCTCAATCAAACTACACATCACCATGCACCTTTATTGTGTCAATAAATACAAAAAAATATATAAATGTAAATAATATATAGATATATATTTTTATTTTTTATCATTTTTTTTAGTCCAGGTCAATTAAAATTCTGCTCCTGGTTAAACCTTTTCACACATTTAATTTTTATTTAATTTCATTGCAACTTAATGATTTTTATGGTTGTTTAGCACTTTGAGATTGCAAATGTATTGTTAATGAAATATGAAATAATTATTACAAGAATCCAATTTTTAAAACAGAACTATGTCATGTCAAATGTTAATGCAACAACTAATCAGTTTTATTCTATTGTGTAATTATGAAACAGTAATGTAGAAATGAATTTGTTTGTTGCCTATCCTGAAGCTATATGTCTGTGAAGGTTCTCAGTCATCCAGGTCATTGTAGTCTAAGGAGCTTTGAAAGAAAAGCGTCTGGACTTCTTTGAGTTGCTTGAAGATGTTTCACCTCTCATTCTATGTAGCCGGTGTATCAGAGAAACTCAGGAGGGTTTTCTCCAAACACAACATACCAGTGTACTTCAGGCCCAGCAACACACTCAGACAGAAACTGGTTCACCCGAAAGACAAAACTCCTAAACACAAACTGAACAATGTGGTGTATGCTGTACGGTGCAGCGAGGAATGCCCAGACCTCTACATCGGAGAAACCAAACAGCCGCTTCACAAGCGCATGGCACAACATAGAAGAGCCACCTCCACGGGACAGGACTCAGCAGTTCATTTGCATCTAAAGGACAAAGGTCACTCTTTCGAGGATGCCAAAGTTCACATTTTGGACAGAGAGGACAGATGGTTTGAAAGAGGAGTAAAGGAAGCCATTTATGTCCACTGTGAGCAACCATCTTTGAACAGAGGCGGTGGTTTACGACACCAACTGTCTGCCATCTATAATCCAGTTTTGAGATCCATTCCCAGATGCCTCAACGCCCACGCATATCCTGGGCCATCTGACCTCAGGACTTCACATGACAGGGTGGGGCCAGGCTTCACAATGAGCTCACCCGAAACTCTGGCTGAATGGGACCCACACCCACCCTCACATCTGGGCTCATGTGTTTCTGTAGAAGATCATCAGGGGGTCTTTTGTTCCCTCTTCAGGGAGAAATTCCCACTGGGTTTGAATCTGGGGCTCTCCACCATTTGACCTTACCCCCAAATTCCACTACCTCCGCTCTGCTCTGCTCCGGTCCGCCCCCGCCTTCCGCAGCCGCTCGCTTCCGAACTCAATTTTTACTGGTACCCGCTTTACAACGGCTGCGCTCCGGTGCGGAGACCTGAGGTGGGCAAACAAGCATGCGCGAGATTTTCGAGATCTTGCAATACAGTCCGAGCAATAAACGCGGAAGTTAGATCCAAGCACCCGTTGTGTGGGAGAAGCATCGGCATGAACTGTTTAATCTGCCCATCATTTGTGTTGAGAGATCAGCAGTGTTTGGATCAACAAAGTGTGACTACTTTGATAGTAGAAACTGTATTTATGGCTTATTTTTGTGCATTTAAACTTCAGCCGCCATTGATAGTTGTTAAAAGATGTTAAACCTGTGCATATGAAACAAAAAACGTCTTTTGTTTCTCGATTTATTGTGAAAAACGGAAGTTGTGCTTGCTCCTTTTCCTGTTGGGCGGTTGTGATTTCTGTCCATCTATCCGGCAAAAATAGGATAGATTCTATTTTTGCCGGACGCCGGAACAGAGGGTGGCGCACTGCGCCGCACTGCCGGAGCACGGCCGCAGTAATGGAATTGCTCTGATTGACTACAACGGGACCGATTTTGCTCCGGCGTTCATGTCGGAGCGGAGCGGAGTGGGGGGTAGAACTGAAGAAGCCTCTCGGATGAGAGGTGAAACGTCTTCAAGCAACTCAAAGAAGTCCAGACGCTTTTCTTTCAAAGCTCCTTGGACTATCCTGAAGCTAGTTTGTAAAGCTAACCATGTACCCGCCAGGACCAGGACCCCCCCCCCCCCCCCCCCCCCCTCAGTTCCTGCCAATGCTGGAAAAGATATGAACTTTTCTGGATCTCAAATAGAAAATGACAAAATGTACCACTTTGGTTGGGAGTGAGACATTTCCTCAGTTTAAGTGTCTTATTGACAAGTGATGGTAGAAGGGAGCTACAGATGGATGGATGGATGGATGGACAGCTTTTGTACCGTTTCTTTTGTGAAGCATATTCATACAACTCTTGTGCTGAAGGATTTCACCAACATAATTTCATCCAAATGTGTAGATTATGCAAACACTGGCTGGGACTTTGGGGCAGATTTGATGAATGGAGGTCAGACTGACAGAAAGTGTATCGTATTTTAACGAACAGGGATGTGACCAGGGACACAAAACACTGACACTCTTCCATTCCCAGCTGCGGTTGCCATAGCGATTTTAACCACTGTTATGCAAGTGCTCCACTTCTTGCGACAACCTCACAAGGCAGCAGATGAACACACACACGAGATGTAGTGATTTAGAAAGTGTGATATTTCGATTAAACCGTTCATTTGGTGAAAACCGATGTCATTATGAATACGGTGACAGGATGGGATAACTGTGATGGCTGATGGTCCTACTGACCCTGGTTGTTATGTAACCCCACCTCCCTCATGGAGCAGAGATGAAGGAGCTTATCTGCTCCATTTATCCGTTTTCTCACTCGTTGATTAATCTTCCCCGTGTAGAACAGCCCATTACTGGCATGCGTGCTTCAGAGCTATGTTACTGCTACTGTTTGTTCCTGTCCCCCAACCTGTCTTCTTCCCTTTCCGGGACTTCACTTACACAAAAGCCTTAAAAGAAAAGAAAAAGGAAAACTCAATGAAAAACGACAGCAATGTGCCCAGAGGCTACTGCAATGTCGATCTAGTCTGACCTAGGGCTGCATGGTGGCGTAGTTGTTAGCATTTTTGTCTCGCAGCAAGCAGGTTGCAGGTTCGAAACTCGGTTGCGGCCTTTCTGCGTGGAGTTGCATGTTCTTCCCATGCATGGTTTCCTCCGTGTACTCCGGTTTCCCTCACAGATCACAACATGCCCTATAGATTAACTATTGTACGTCGCTCTGGATAAAAGCGTCTGGCAAACAAATAAACATAAACACAGACTTGCAAAAATAAATGCCCATGCAGTTTGACCTGGTGTGCTACAGTGTGAATGGATTACTAATTCAACAAGCCCGGGCTGGCTTACAGTGTAAAACAAGCATGTGCCAATCAGTTAATTGGGTTTTGTGTGCTGTAATGTGTTGAAAAAGGTAAAAATCTCACAATAACTACAAAATCCAGCTTGAGAAATCATTAATGACTGGATAAATTTCCCACCCTTGTATCTCCGTTGGTTTATGTTCTACAAAATGAAGTTATCCTCTTGTTTTATTTATTTATTTGTAAAGAATTTTTGTTGTTTTTCATTTTTTAATATAAAACAATGCAGGCCATCAGTAACACACACATGCAATCATTCAGCCATTCATAACGAGCAGCCCATCAAACTCTCAGCTGGTCATACCAATTAGCATATTAGCATCTCCTCATCTGCAAACCCGAGTTTTTGCTATTTTTTTTTTTTTGGGGGGGTTGCTAAGGCTCATTACTGGTTGCAGCAGATTTTCTGCTGCTGGTCAGTAAAGCTTCAATTCAATGACAAAGGTGTGACTTGATGGCAACAATTAATACAAATAGATCATGTCATTGGTTCCCACTTGGAGTTCTGGGGAGGACTCTGAGCTACGAACACTGATATATTTATTTCAAAATCAGTCAAACTGACTAAATTACAGGCGTTATTATGTTGGTCATGTTAGATGTGGATGGCTAATACTTATTCAGCTGCAGCTGTAAGATGTCTGTTTGTATTAACATTCAAACCATTTGAGTTTCCTCCCTGTGAACAGGTATTTGTGCTGAGATTTCTGAGTCAGACATGTCACAAGTGCAGCAGCACGCTCCACGGGACTGAAGCAAACCCCTCTGCTTGAGTGCTTCTTTAGTTATTTTATCCCCTCACAAAGAGAAACCTTTTGCTTCTGACTCACAGCGGATGATTCACCTCCTTGCAGTCAGACCCGTTGGAGATGTCTGAGACTGGTGGAGGAACCTCAGGGCACTGTCATCGACCCCTTGTTGAAATGTACATCATCAGCTCTGCAGTTAGTTTTCTAAACCGAGAGAAATGAAAGCTAAAGATATATTTATGGAGCATTACATCCCATGCAACACATAAAGTAGGAAGTGAAGGCCCTTTAATAAAACTCATCCTTTCACACACCCAGGGATATGTCCTACTTTGTGCTTGTTTACATAACATTTGATTTTTGTGGCATTCAAATTTACGCAAACTTCCCGACCGACTCCACGAGCAACAACTAAAATGAATAGAAAGATGAAGTTGATGTTACCACAAAGATTTTAATTTCCCTTCCACAAATCGTGGACCACACAGATAAACAGGATAGGTATCCAACTTGTCAAAAAACCCATTATAATTAATATGTTTACTGGCATGATAATAATATGGAATGTACTACTCTCGTTCAGCGTTTTTATTTTATGAAACAAATGAAATAAATAACTCTATCTCTGAGAATTACATGGATTTAGGAGACAAACAGACGAATGACGGCATGGTGAAGAGCGTCCCTGCCTTTAACAGCCCTGTCTCAGTCTGCAGAAGATCTTCCAGAATGTTCCCATGAGCAGAACTACACTTTCTTTGGAAATCTGACACAAAAAAACCTTCTGTCCCAAACTTGAATTGCTTTTATTTGCGGCCTACCCTTGTCCTTCATAGTTCATAAACAGAATGCTGGATGAATCTTTGCACTGTTCCCTCGGGTGGCTGCTTTGTGTTTTGTGAAGTTTGTTTCAGACATGAACAAAAACAGAGAAGAGCACTGATGGTGGAAACAGGGAGGCATCAAAAAACAGCTGAAGCCACAAGTAGAAATCTGTTCCGTTTGCAGTCTGCTCGTCTGTTCCTGCAATGCTCTGAGAGTTAAGTGCTTCAGTGTTTGAGTCTGTGTGCTTTTGTGTCCGCTCAGTCTGCGCTCTGGTTCTCCAGCTCAGAGATGATGGTGATCAGGTTCTGGAGACCAAAGATGTATCCGCTGTCCTGGCCCTCGTGGACCACACTGTCCTCTCTGTAATGTCTGCAGGTGGTGTGAGCAAAGTCAATCATTCTGACGTCCACCGCAGAACTGCAGGGGTCCGATCGCGACTGGCCCATACCCGAGCTCCCACTGCTGTTGCAGCTATCGCTGGATGTGGAGGGGCTATGAGGAAAGCCAAGTGCACCTGCCACTTCCTCCTCTTCATCCTCCTCCTCATCCATGTTAGGTTCGGTTTCCACCTCCTCCTCATCGTCCTCCTCCTCTTCATCTTCAGAGAGCCCGTCTTGGGTGCGTCGGCGTGTGTGTTTTCTGTGTGATGCTCCATCGTAGATGATGAGCAGGGAGCTGGAATAAAAGCGGTACGACTCGCAGGCTTCCAGGGCAGCTTGCATCTCTCGGAGTCTGCTCAGCACCGGAGACAGCAGCTCGTGTCGCAGGCGCCGCCCGCTGTGGAAGAACTGGAACAAGGCCTCTTTGAAACCGAGCAGGGTCAGCTTGCGGCCATGGTACTTGTTCATGAACATGAGTTGAGTGGTGTCAGAGTGGTACACCTGCAGTGACCAAGAAACATTAACTGTTAGAAAGCAAACTTTTGAATTTTAGTCATAAATTGCAGAAAACATTTGATTTATCACAAAGGCTGCGCTGACCTGCATGCCACAGAGGCGGACCCCTATTAATGCTGACGTACTCTGCTGGCACTTGCGTATCTGCATGGCCTTCTTCTCCTCTGAAGCGTCGTCGCCGTGCTGCCGTGTGCCCATCTTCAGGTCCAGCACACACGGCACCGAGTGCCTCCAGGTCAGGTTCTCTAATAAGATGAATTCTGAGGCGCTAAGTCAAGGAGAGCAAAGTCTAAAATCACAGTACTTAAAACTCAAATCTGCTTTATTGGGCCAAACTAAATCACGACAATAAGAAATCTCTTCACTGCTGCAGTTTTTTTCACCCACGTTGACTCTGTTTTTTTACTGGATTCTGAGGTTAAGCTCTGGACTGGTTTGGAACCAAAAACAACAAATGTCGGAGATGAAATGGCTCTGAGCTGTTTAAGGATACTGTATTGGTTGCGGTGCTTAGCATTCTCCTTCATGCGCTGCAGGTGCTGCTGGTGACACTTGAGGCTCCAGGGGTTGTGTTTGAGCTGTGGGCTGGTTTTACTGTGACTGTGCTCCAGTCTGTAGTGCAGCACTTCAGCCTTCTGCCGCCGCTCTAGCTCCATGTCGTCCTGCAGCTTGTGGCCACTGATCAGCACACACACACACACACACACACACACACACACACACACACACACACACACACACACACACACACACACACACACACACACACACACACACACACACACACACACACACACACACACACACACACACACACAATCACTTTAAATTCACTAAAATCATCACAGGAGAGGTAAAAGTCATTCAAAACATCCTATTGTTCTCTTCAGCCTCACCTATTTTCCTTATCTTTACGGATGTGGCGACTTCTGCCGTCTTTGCTGTAATGTTCACTGTCCATGTGCAACGATGATGTCACCATCTGTCCCCATTTGATCATCTTACTCTTGGAATCACAGTCTGCTGAGTGGTCTTCTAGATCTGGTGCTGGGTCACCGTGAAGGGGGTAGGCGATGAGGCAAAGATTCCCTTGGTCATCTTCCTCGAAGCTTACGGACACCACACCTAGAACAGGAACAAGACAAACGATAGGATTTAAAAAATCACTCTGCAAAACGCTTCAGTAGTGAAGCTGGGATGGACCACTGAATAACTAGAGTGCAAACAAACTTGTTTATTCAGCACAAACAAACAATGATGACTTGCAAACATCATAAAAACCTAGTAATGGAGATTGTGACAGCAGTGGCGCTCCCAAGGGGTGGCCAGGGTTGGCCTGGGCCACACCAAAGGAGATCAAATATCTTTAATGAATCATATTAATGTTCACACAAACTATAAAATCATATTATTTAATCAGACATGAAGCCCAATAAAATATACAATTAAAGAGTAAATAAATAATCAGATGAAAAATGTATGGCTCAACATTTTCAAAATAAATGTTTAAATGTCTGTAGTTTTTGTGGATGTTTTGGTGAAAAGTTGTGTTCTTCAAATTTGAGGTAACGTGGTATGCACATTGTTTTTTAATAAAAAAAAAAGACTATATGCATGCAGTGCATCGCCACAGGCTAAACTCTCCCAGAGTAACCACATGGACCAATCTGGTGTGCCCCCCCCCACCCCCCCCCCAAATTTCCTCCAGCCCTGTTCAGATCAGATTAAAGATTTATTGGCCAAGTAAACTTGCATTTACAAGGAATTTGGCTTCAGTAGAAGGCCACCCCTATAAAGATTATCTGGGTGCACCACTGTATTTGAGGTATCAGACCATCTTGGTGGCCTAGTGGTATAGTGTCCACCCTGGGACTGGGAGATCGGCGTTGAAATCCCGGTTGGGTCACACCAAAGACTTTAAAAATGGGACCCAACGCCTCTCTGTTTCACCTCAGCTTAAAGGGGTTGGACTGGGGGGATAAACCACCAAATAGTTCCCGAGCGCAGCCAAAGTTGCAGCTCACCACTCCCCACAGGGATGGATCGTAATGTAATTCATCAGTGTGTGATGACTAAAGGGACTTTACCTTTAAAACAAATAACCTACATGAGAACAAGTTAATTAATGCTTCCTGACTTCTGCTTTTACAATTCCTCATCAGCCAAGATCTGAGTCTTCCTGCTGCAGAAGCAGAAGCCAGACCGTGAAAATTAATCACTAACAATCACAGACAGGTAAGGAAAGGCACCAGTCTAAATGGCATTCATGAAAAGTGATATTTTCATGAAATATTTTGATGGGACTGAAATGAGAGAAAAATGTTAGGATGAGGCGGACATTTTGGGCCTCATTGGACAAGAATTCAATTCCATTCAAGTTTATTTATATAGCGCCAAATCATGACAAGAGTCGTCTCAAGGACCTTCTCATGGTAAACATTCCAATCCAGGTCAGTTCATTAAGCCAGTCAGAAAAAACAAGTTTCCTATATAAGGAACCCAGCAAATTGCATCAAGTCACTGACTAGTGTCTAGTCACTGACACTGACTAGTGTCAGTGACTTTACAGCAATCCTCATACTACGCAAGAATGTGAGTGAGATCACATCAAAAGTGTAACCAGTCTAACACCCTAGACTGGTCTCCATTCCATCTCAGGAACACTCATCCACTCACGTACTTACACCTACAGGAACATTACAGGGTTGCTAATCGACCTGACGTGTGTTTTGATTTGTGACTTTCAAGGCTACAATCTAAACCGGTTTTTCTGGTTCATCTTGCAGGTTTTGAACCGGGAAAATTACCAGTAGCTACCACCTACTCAACCACAATACCGGAGTTACTAAAGCCTTCTAAAAACATGACCAGCCATGTTTGCAGTCAGTGCTCCCCTGTGGACGAATACAGTAGTGCTGCAGAAAGCAATACAAAAAGAAAGACTTATTCTCTAAAATGTCTAATTGCACTTTTCACACACAACCTGCACAGATGCAAACGGATGCTTGCAGAATTTCCATCACATAGAAGAAAAAGAAGAAGATGCACGTAGATCTAAAAAAATGCAACTAAAATCTAGTTGATGACAGCAAAGGTCCTGGTGTATTTACCTCTGTACTGGGGGGTAAATTTCCTCATTGCAGCAGGAAGACTTTTATAGAACTGGTGCTCACGGGGGATGAGGGGCTTGCAGATTGTCTGCTCTCCAAAGCGCAGAACGCAGGAATGCCCCCCCACCTGGTGCACAAAGGGCTCAAGCATCACCCCTTTCTCCATGTAGCACTGCCGCTGCTGCAGCTGCTTCTGCTTCTGCTCTGCATCCATGGCCTCCTGGGCCTGAGCCTCCACAGCCGGACTCATCCTCCTCTGACCACACTACCGCGGGCATTAGCCTTCTCAGTCACGCACACTTGCTGTGGTGGGGGCCCCTATCCTCCAGGAACACGATGCAGTCAGATAGAAAGTCCCAGGATGTTGTTCTAGGATTGCAGGATGTTGCTGAGCTCGTCTTGTTGTGATGATCCGCCTTGTTTTGGCTACCAGAGATTCTGCTGGTTGAAAACAAAGAGCAGGAAGAAGGACAGCTCAGGCTCTCAGCTGTAGTTCACTCCTCTCCGATCCGTCCTCCTCATGAAGGAGAAACAAAAATCCTTCTGATGTTAAAGTCTGGAGCGGTGCTGATGCAGCAGATCACAACCTAGCTGCTCTGTTGCAGTCTGGAGCTCTCTGACAGCTGAGAGCTGATCCTGCTCTGGTAAAGCTCTCACCGGCCCCGCCCCCCTCCTCCACAAGGTCACCAATCGCAGGCCGAGAAAGCAGGTTGTTGGGTGGAAACCCTCCGAGGCAAAGAGGCAAGCAAACAAAGACAGCAGTGGGAGTGAACGGTCTGGGGGAAGGGAGGGAGAGAGGAATCCACTCAGCTGTTTATGTTTGCGTGACAGCAGCGTTTAAAAATGTGAAAGAACAAGAGGCTGTTTCCTATAAAAGCAGTCTGAGGAAGGCTGCGGAAGGGTTTTAACGATGATAAAAACGCATTAGCATTATTATTTATCAGACAATCTTCAGCAAACGTTTAAAGACAACAAAAAAAAAGTCAAAGAACAGTAATCACATGAACTGTATTTGAAAAAGCACCAGAGTCCTTTTAACCCCCCAAAGCACTTTACAACACAATCATCCATCCAAACACACACACACTGACACCCCTGGCGGGAATAAGCTACATCCTACAGCTGCCATGGGGCGCGCTGACAGGAGGCGAAAAAATTAGAAAATTGGTCATTTGAAATGATTATGAACGCTTAGAATTAGTTTTATTTATTTAAGTATTATTATTATTTATTAATATTATATTTTAAAAAGTTGCTTTGTGAACACAGTTTGTTAGACTTTCCACAACACAGCAAGCAAAGAAAGAGTGATATCCTGTTCATAATAAGATAATAATATGATGATAATAGACAATGATGTATTTTTAAGACTGAGAAACTGTTAAACTGTTAGACTGTTGGATGATTTTCTTTTATGAAAGTAAACATGATGTGCGATTACCAGTAAAAGTTGTTTTAAATAAAATTTGCTTATGAGGTTTGTTTCAAATTCATTTTTCTGGGATTTTAGCTCGTATCTTAAAGCTAATCGTCTCTGGTTACTAAAGTTTTATATATATGTATATATATATATATGAATATCAGTTGTTACCATTTTAGGAATCAAAACCATTCAAAAGAGCCGCGGTGAGTCGGAGGATGTCTCATAATCTCATCAACCACCCTCCCAGCTCTTCTTGACAGATTATTTTAGAGGGCTTTAAGACTCTATGATATTTCTATTTTAAACACGTGGAAAGTGTATTTATACCCCATCATGTTTCAGTGCGAGGCCGTCTCTCTGTGGAATAACACATTTTGGTTGATCACTGGCTGCTTGTGTGGAGGATAGACTCAGTCGCTGATCTCTATAATCCTGCCTCTTGGCACACATGGGAAAACGGCCCAGGATACACAAGTGGAACACAACGCAGCTTCATTTAACTGCAAGATTTCTCTCCTAAAGTGGGCAAAACTGCTGATGTTTTCATTTTGGCTGAAACTGAAAGGTGTTTGCTATCACTGTTTTTTAACTAAAAAAAGAGTAATCATAAATGACAATAAGGTTAAAGATGAACACTTGGAGATGTGCTGTCTGGTGCAGCCCGTTCCTGGTGGATTTGAATCCAGGCTGTGGCCTTCCTGTGTGTAAAGAGCTTTCATGTGAGGATTCTCTCTGGAAACTCCAGTTTCCTCCCACAGACCAGACACATGCATTTAAGGTTAAACGGTTCCTGAGCACGGCTGTGTCTGCAGCTCACCGCTCCCCCAGGGGATGGGTCGGATGCGGAGAACAAATGTCACACACACTGATGTGTGTGTGACAACTGATGGAACTTTGACTTTAACTTAACTTAAGTTGCATTGAAGGAAGGTGTTTGCAACACGAGGGAACGCGTCTATGTTGTCAATGTCACTCTGCTACTAACGGAAAAAACTGTAGCTAAAAATCTGTAAAACAATTTCTTTTACAGTTTTTTGCTCATAAATTTCAATTGAATTGAACTAAAAGTTAATGAGTAACAAAGGTACCACATCTAATTACTACTTTCTCAGAGGTTCATTGAAATCTGACCAGTGGTTCATGAGAAATTATGCAGACAAACAAATACACCCACATAGAGACAAAATCACTTCACCCTTAGTTTATATTTTGGCTGAGAGAAAGAAAAACGAGAAAAAGAGGTGACAGAGGAAGCAGACAGCAATGCCTGAAAGAGTCAGAACTGAACACAAACCGTTCAAACTGACGTAACTTTTGGAAGAAACAAACCTTTTAAGGTTAATTCTTCATTAGAAAAGGACATCTGAAGCTCCGAAAGCACACATCTCACATATATGAAATACTGACTCAAGCCAGCAGCCAAACATCTTATGTTTTTTTTTCTCTCGTCTCTCGTCTCTCGTCTTCCTCCGCTTATCCGGGTCCGGGTCGCGGGGGCAGCATCCCAACTAGGGAGCTCCAGGCCGTCCTCTCCCCGGCCTTGTCCACCAGCTCCTCCGCAGGACCCCAAGGCGTTCCCGGACCAGATTGGAGATGTAACCTCTCCAACGTGTCCTGGGTCGACCCGGGGGCCTTCTGCCGGCAGGACATGCCCGAAACACCTCCCCGGGGAGGCGTCCAGGAGGCATCCTGACCAGATGCCCAAACCACCTCAACTGGCTCCTTTCGATCCGGAGGAGCAGCGGTTCTACTCCGAGTCCCTCCCGAATGTCCGAGCTCCTCACCCTATCTCTAAGGCTGAGCCTGGCCACCCTACGGAGGAAACTCATTTCGGCCGCTTGTATCCGCGATCTCGTTCTTTCGGTCATTACCCAAAGCTCATGACCATAGGTGAGGATTGGGACGTAGATCGACCGGTAAATCGAGAGCCTGGCTTTCTGGCTCAGCTCCCTCTTCCCCACGACAGATCGGCTCAGCGTCCGCATCACTGCAGACGCCGAACCAATCCGCCTGTCGATCTCCCGATCCCTCCTACCCTCACTCGTGAACAAGACCCCGAGATACTTAAACTCCTCCACTTGAGGTAGGACCTCTCCCCCGACCCGGAGGTGGCAAGCCACCCTTTTCCGGTCGAGAACCATGGTCTCAGATTTGGAGGTGCTGATCCTCATCCCATTTTTTTTCTGCAAAACTTAATTAGCAAAAGTTGGAATATTAAAACTGACTAATAAAAAATAACTGCACAGGGGAAATTACACCCCACCAGGGAAATAACTGGCATGACCTTGTAAAAGTGGGACACGCATGTCCTGAGGCGGCTGGAGCGGAGAGAGCTGTGCTGCTGAAGCACGTGGCAGCTACATGAAAAGAGACTGAAATGTGCAGGTGACAGGAGACTGGGATCCAGCTCCCACCCCAGCAAAGCATACTAGACTTATGAAGTTATAAAAAAATAAAATAAAACCAGCTCCTCCGGGTATGGTCAGCGCTCCCCTGAGCCTTCGAAATGATTTTAATCTGTTGCATGAAGCACATCAAGGAAACAGCTTTGCAAGTCAAATGTCTAAATCCTTGTAACACGGCAAGGAGTCTTTATGCAGCGAGGACGAACACACGTCTATGGATCTGGATTTAGTCAGCTGTTCTCTCTGTGATAAACAAACGAGTCCTATCAACACGACGATGGAAGGAGAGCCGCGTGAATGAGCTACGCTAAAGTAATATTGGGGCACCTTGATGATGCTTGGACGCAACTGTTCTTTGTTTTGTTTTTCCATGTAGACGCGGCTGAATGCAAAATTAGCAAATGTTTAAATTTAGAAGTAAAAATTCAAGAGTTTGTGATAACTGGTCGTGAGTTTCTCAGATCTCTGTGGAGGACTTACAGCAGATAAGTTTGCCTGGTGTGTGATGATCTCTTTCTGAGGTGTTAGTTTCACTCTCAGTGTAGCGGGACACACCCCTTCCACAGTTCTGCTTTTGTTTCGCAAGTCCGCTGGATTGGTCTTGGGGATCTTCAATGCTTTTATGCAAATACGAGACAGACCTTTGTGTTGTTTTTGGTGAGCGGAGGTTTCAGCCTCGAAACCATTTTTGTCCCCTGTTGTATCATGACTTCTTTAACCTGAAACAGGTGGGGCCTGCAGTGATTTAGATGTAATTCGGGGCTCTTTTGGTCCTAGGTTTCTTCAGAAGCGGTGCTTTTTGAGATCTTCTCATGATGTCAGGCTGGTTCATCTTAAAGCTGCAATAGCAAATCTGCAAAACAAGCTAGCTGATAAACACAAACACAGTCACAAAACTCTCACCCCTCCCGTCGGCTATCATCCCTGGGCCACATCCGCCTGAAACCAGAACTCATATTGCCAGAGGAAACCAGAGAACGCTAAACACCAGTCGTCTTTTTCTACATCCAAACGTGACTTCAGGTGGTGTTTTTCTTTTTGGGACTCTGGTAGTTTATCCTAAAGTTGAAGTGGTTGCAGCCGGCTGTTTCTCCTCTGATGTTATTTAGCGGAGAACCTCTCACACCGGTGGTGTTCTGTTGCTAAATGCACGAGCGTGTGATGAATGGAGGGCCCCGGGAAGTGCAGAAGTGTGGCGGTTTGGTGAGACTGACAACGAAGATCATCCAATTGTTGGCTTTGGACTGAAGTGTGCCATTGAGGGAACCACGTTTATGGTCTTTTTTCAATCTTCACAATATATTTATATATATTTTATGTTAAAATGTTAAAAGACATGAATAAATGTTTTATGCTAATTAGTTTTGCACATTTGCTATAGCTTTTTCACACAGGGCCAGGTTCCTTTGAACAGCATTCTTTAATAAATGAAAACATCTTTGTAATTGAGCCTTGCTGAGTTTTGTGAAGCCCTTTAACCAGAATAAATCTCTAAAACTTTTACTGATGATTACATCACAGAAAAATGCCCCATCATTCACCGGTGGCACAGGAGTTAAGTGCTCGCCCCGTAATTGGAAGGTTGCAGGTTTGAGCCCCGCTCAGTCTGTCGCTGTTGTTGTGTCCTTGGGCAAGACACGTCACCCACGTTGCCTGCTGGTGGTGGTCGGAGGGACCGGTGGCGCCAGTGCTCGGCAGCCTCACCTCTGTCAGTGTGCCCCAGGGCAGCTGTGGCTACATTGTAGCTCATCACCATCAGTGTGTGAATGTGTGTGTGAATGGGTGAATGACTGATTGTGTTGTAAAGCGCCTT